AAATTTTCCCATAAGGTTCAATGTAATTACCGTTAATCCGTTCTGGCGTCTGCGGACCACGTGTCAGGGGCGGGAGAACGGCCGGCCACGGCGGGAGAAAGGCCAGGCGCCGCGCAGCGGGAGAAAGGCCGGGCACCACACGGTGGGAGAATGGCCGCGGACCACGAATCGGGCGGAAAAATGGCCGTGGACCACGTGTCAGGGCGGAAAAATGACCGTACCCTGAGGCGGAGTTTGCACATCGAGGTAAATTTTTGCGGCCGGAGCTGGTCGTAACCCGAAAAGTTTATTAGTAGAGGCGTTCGTATCCCGAGGTACCACTGTATTAAACTATCATATCAGCAGCTATTAGCTGCATGTAGGTAAGGAGATGCACCCTTCTACATCTGTTTGCGGGAGACTGTGGTGTCAACTGCATATACGAAGCTCAGTTGCAACAGCTGGGCATCTAGAAAGGACTAGATTTGTCTTTTTTTTTACCTTCCTCCCTGAGCAAGTCCTTGTGATCTGGCTCCATCCCCAGCCCCTTGGGTTAGAAAGGGTGGTAAACCCCTTCTGGGCTATCAGCAATCCTCCTGGGATGCTTCAGTTGTTTAACTGATCATTGATTTTCTCTGGGTTCTCTTTTGGATGATATATTTTGTATTTTTCTTGTACTATATTGCTGCATTTTGTGCCATGCAGATTGAGGCGGCCAATAAAATAAATTAACCAATCAGTCAAGTAACATTCCCACATCAATAACACCTTCTACACTTAAGAAAGAATACTTACCTTCCTTTCCCCCCAGATTTGATTAACAGTAATTTTTCCTCTTCGTGAGTTGGCATCATCAATTACATCATCATGAACTAGACTAGCGGTATGGATCATTTCTGCAATTAATGCTATAGAGCGTTGGCTTGCCTGCACTTCTCTAGGATTAAGATGTGGGAAGAGGACAAGAAAAATGTAGCATGTCAACCCTGTTAGAATAGCTTGAACAATACAGAAAAAGACAAGTGCTATCAACTCAGATTCAAAAGTTCTAGAGACCATGCTGACAAATTCTTGCCATCTCGACTTACCTCTGTAATAATTCATAGCTTTTCCAAGGACATTCTTTGAACCTGCCCATCTGCCTTATCGACTGCCTTTCCATTCTTCTACTTCCCTCAACCTTGCCATACATAATCAGTTTTTCTTTATCAATTATTCACTTTCCCATCACATGCCAAATAGGCATGTTTCTGCTTGTTAATCTTCTATACAGTTTATTAACTTGCCCTGTATTCATGACGAATATTTTGGACTTCAGTGACTCTATAATGAAATTCATCTTTCAAATTTAATATAAAAGAGAAACTAGAATTAAATTTGAAAAATAAGTCAAGGCATAGTAGTGCAGGGAATGTACATAGTAAGAAATTCTTTTCTCTTATTCTAAATATTTGACCTGAGTCATCCTGTGAGAGACATACTCCATTAAATACAGGAAAGCTGAATGTCTGCTAAGTCTTAAGGTTGCTAAAATAAATGATTTTTAAAAAGGGATTTGAGAGCAATTTTACTGATGGATAGCTATCAGTGGAGCCAGTATGTTCCAATTACCAGACCTCAGGAGTGTTGAGACGCTTTTAATGAAAGCAGGCTAGACATCTTTATAATATATATTAGAAATTATGAAATATATAAACAAACATGGCTCTCTCCGTTGATCTAGTAGACCCTAGCAATCTAAATGTGATGGGATAGATTGCATGATTACAATATCTATGGTTCCATTCTATAAAGTAGAAACAAAACTCACATAATCATTGGCCAGCAAAGCTCCCAGGACATACAAATAAACTGGCACTACCCAGCCTTAAAGTTACATCTTTTACAGTCAAACATCATATTGTGGCAGCCTAAATTGTGAACAGCAGCCTATTCTGCCCCTTTCTTCAGGATCTTACACCTGTAACTTCACCCAGCATACTTAGAGTACATCTGCTGCCTCTTTAATACTAGATTTCATTCAGTCAAATATGGGTATATTTACAAACCAGGAGCAGCATCTTTCACACACTAGAATCCCAACTCTGTTGATTATTACTTCCATCGTTCTAGGATCTTTTATTATACCAATTACTTGATATAGACCTCACATCCATTTTATTCTGGGTAGTCCCAAAAATGAACCAATTAGTTTGTTTCAGCATCTTTATAAATAAGTAAATTATTTATAAAGTAAAGATGTAATTATCAGTAAATTACTAATGAAATCTGGGGAAGCTTCCTAAGAGAACTAATGAAAAGCAATAATTACGTTTTTGAATCGGCTAAACTAAGCTTCAATCTGCTTTTCTTTTGGACAATCAAATAAACCAGTGTCTGCTCATAAGTCAAAACATGTCCATTGTTTTCTTCATTCTGACACATCCAGAGAAAAGCCCCAAATCTTTGTCAAAGGGACTATAACTATGCTTGTGTTCAGGCAGCTTCTGTTTTTTTGGGCTAGGCACATCATCTAATTTGTCTGGTTTTGGGTTAGCATCTTGTATGAATGCAGTCAATGGTGGATTATTCAAAAATCACAGATAAGCAAACTGTGTTGAATGAGATGCATGAATTCACACTGCTGTAAGCTAAAGTAAACTCATTCATAAAGTAAAGTAAAGTAAACTCATTCATATTTTATACCATATCCTACATTCCCGCAGAGTTCTGAAGCATAAACGGAATAAATATTGACTGACTGCCCAGCTTTCTTATTGATAGTAAGTGAAATGTTTTGCTTTACTGCAGAAACAAACCTGAACTTTAATAACTTCAAAAATAAAGGTTAGATATTTACCCAGAACTGTTGTGATGAAAATTGCATGCTCTGGCCATTAGTGCCACAATGATTGGTCGAAAGGCCTTCCCTTTACCATCAAAGTAATATTCACACATTTCCTTAAATTCTGTAGTAGAAACCCGTAATTCCTGCAAAAAGCCAAACAAAGCCAGTTCTATAGCTGCAAATTTAGAGTGGCTTTATGGTAATAAAGTCCTATCTAAAGAGTGATCTATTAGAGCTCCTTACCACAGCTCACCAAAAATGTATTTACCTTTTTAATATCCTCATAGAGATTTTTCAAGTCTTTTCTTCCAAGTTTAAAAGGATCTTTATATTGTTCATCGCTAACCACTTTACCAAAGCAGTGAGTTTGCACTGTTGTATGTTGAAACCTGGCAAAACTTTTTGGGAAGAAAAAAAAATTAACATAATCCCTGTACTGAGGCAATCTTATCATCCCTGCCCAGAAGAGTAACTCTATTATTGCTACCCTGAATAACTGAATTTATAAAAGAAAAGATGTCAAAAGAAATACAAGTTTCTTCCAGCTTACCCACAAAGATGAAAAACATTATTCAGTCAATATTAAGAAGAAGGAAATGGATTTTCTAAAATCCTTAAGTCTGGAGTTCTTGGTTGGGTCTTGTATTTGCACTAAGAAGCCAGTTACAAGATCCAAGACCCTACAGAAGCAACTACTTTGCAATTTCACTATGCAACATGGATCTCTCTCCTTGTCCAAGTCTTGACCATGGTCAGGATAGAGACCCAAAACTACATCCAACAAAATTGTTAGTTTCTGAGTCTCACAGTCCTATTTTGTACTGCCTACATCATAGAAAAAGATGAGGTGTTTAGGCTCTATAAAGTTATCAAAAATTGAAGAAAAATAGTTTGGGCATTTTATTTAAATGTACTAACCCCTTAAGTTATTGTACCTTTTTGTGACATGCATATGGAGAATGAAGCAAGAGTTGTCATTTTGTATTGAAGAAAACAAGTGGGAAAAACAAGTACTACATTCTGTACATCAGTGTTGTCCAAACGTGGCCACTTTAAGATGAGTGGACTTCAACTCAGTATTGTTTTAATTGTATATATAGTACAGTGGGGCAAAAAAGTATTTAGTCAGCCACCAATTGTGCAAGTTCTCCCACTTA